TGTATATTAATTTTTTTTTTAATAATCATAATAATAATAATTTATTTTTATTTTCGAGCAGCACTTGATATTTGACATCTCTAATTTTGTACCAGACTGTCAAAATATAATATATTTTACAAAACAAAAAAAAAATAAAAATTGTTGAAGAAATAAATATTCATTGCGGGCCTTATCGAAAGGACAGCGGGCCACTTGTTTGAGACCACTAGACTACATCATATCTATCAGATTTTATCCGTAACTTGGTAAATATCAAATAATAGATATTAATTCCCTGTCTTTTCGCACAGACCAAACACATTAATTTACATTTTATGAAATTTAAGTAAGGCTAAGCATTGAAAGCTTTTGGCTCCTTGAAACACAAATATTTAAAATACTTGACTTTAAATGCACTAACAAAATTATTAAAATCCAGCGATTTGAGATACTAAAATGAATAAACAAGTATGTAATTTGCATTTGAAATGTAATTGGATTTGCTCTTAAAAAAAAAAATGTGAATAGCAATTCGAACTTTTAAGTAGGTATTGTTATACGATATTCTTCAATTTGAATTTATTTTAACTTATAACGAAGTCACATACTTTTTATAAGAAATAAGTCGTCAAAATCGTTCAACATTTAGAAATGATTAACCTTCAATTAATTAATTAATTTCTGTTTCAATTTAAACATGGTAGAAAAGTTAGTTTCCCTAATTTTAATATTATTAAATATATTATGTAAATTAAAAACCAATTATTAAACCAAAACATAATTAGGTATAAAACTGAATTATTGTACTTAAGGGAAGTAGGTAGGTTAAAATATATAAAAAAAAAAAATAATGAAATTATAAACAACATTTTGTCTGGCATCTTTGTGCTCTTCAAACTATACAGCTACTCTAATACAGTCAACAGATTACTTTTTCTTCGAAATCAACTTTATATTATTGAAAATACATAAAGTTCAAGTAAGTTGTGAATTCTATTGTCCAAAGTACATATTTTGAACAGAATTAAAATATTTCCTTAGGTAGGTTTTCGCAATATCCCTTGGATAAATCGTATCAAACAATAAATACTAGACTTCAATAACTTTTTCTATAACATCCATATGTGATTAGATTTACGACTTAAATGCATAAGATAAAGTATTAAACCCACTTTGTAAATTCTTTCTTAAACCAAATTGTTTCTTTTAAATGTATAACGTAATGCTTTGCTAGTAAATAATATAGCAACAATCAATGTACATTCCAATACGACTATACCCAAAATTTAATATATAGCCCATAATATCACATAAACAGGTTACTAGAACTTGGTACCCTTGGCGAAACAATATTCTTTAATACAATAATAAAATTTAATAAAATCTAAATAATAAAATAGGCTAATACACATCATTATTTTTTATTTCTAGGTAATATATTTATATAAGACAAATATCGTTCAAGATTACTTACTTAGCAAAGACGGCCATGTAATATATATTTTAATTATTGTATTTTAGTGGAATTTATTAATTGTATCTTAAGAACTTAAACATGGTTTGGCATTGTACATGACGTATTGCGATCAATAAAATTAAATTTTACGTTTTAAAATATAAAAGTTGTAAATATTTGAATTTTATTTTCAATCAGACCAACTTCGATATATTTATATACAGTATTCTATATTCAAATTAATAATAACTCTTCGACATTATTTGGAATACAAATTAATAATTATATGCACCCCTTGGTCCTTAATTTCACATACGCCTATACATTTAGATATCATAGTCTCACGCGTGACATCGTTTTAGTTCTAAGCTTAGTGAATAGTTTTTATTTCCGTAATCACTCGCCTTTGGGCAGCAAAAATAATATCACGGTTTCTACTACGATCAATATCAAATGGTATTTGAACAATAGAAAAATGGATATGGTTGACAATATCAAAAAACTTTCTTTTTTTTAATTCTTAGTCATCTTCTAAAATATTTACCTTTAAATCGTTAAAATTTTTAGTTTAAATATAAGTTAGGTTATAAAATATTCTAAAATCGTATTCATCATTTAAATTGAAAAAAAAATCTTGGTATTAAAATATTATAACAGACTAAATAGAAACGTGTTATTATTTATTGTTTCACAAAATATTTAAAATTTATTCGTAGCTTATGGTAACATAATTTAAAATATTAATGCAAGTTTAATAATTACAAAATATTCTAACCAATATATAATAGGTTTGAAAAACCCACACTCAAGTTTTAAAAACATGAATATTAATAAAATAAATATCACTCCTAAGTGTTTTTGAATAAGCTTTGCTTATCACTAATTTCAAATTTTAATACAATACATACAATTATTAACCTTGTGCAAAAATAAATTAAAAATATAAATACCTAACACTTATTTTAAATTATTTGTTTATTTTTAAATTATAGAACTTATAATTTATTCGATTAATTATTACAAAATTTGATAGCACATCTAAAAATTGTAATATCAAACAACAACTAAACAAAAAAATTATAATAATTAAATAAAAATAATACATGAAATGTTTTTAACAGTTCTTGAACATCAAATATTAATATTTTAATAACATGTTTATTTAATTGAAAAATATGATTTCATGGTCAGAAATATGTTAACATTTTCTAGAATGAGGTTATTTTTTGCAGTTAATAAAATTTTAACAGTGTTAAATAAAAAATAATTTTAAATATAATTAAAAATTAAAAATAAAAATAAATAATAAAAAACTTCTAGTTTTTGGCAATAGAGTGAGAGAATTTACATAAAAAAAATCAATGAATATTTTATCTTGAAGAAAAATAAACAAGAATAATAACTTTACTTGTAAATTTTACTAAACAATTTAATATTTAATGTGACTCTGTCTTAAAGGAGTAAGAAATTATGTTTGAGAATGTTTGTATTAATATCTAATAAATAATAATTACATTTTGAAATATTATTTTTAACTTTCTAAGTGTTACAATTTTTATATCGTATATTCATATACTTTTTAAATACTTAAAATTTACTAACAATTGTAAAATTAATACAACATATCTATTATATTTTTACCACTTAAGTAATTAGACTTAAGTATTTCATATATCATACGCTTGCTCACCGAAAAGTTTGGCCAATACTTTTTATTATTTTTTTCCTCAGCTTTTTCAGTCCATTTAAGACCTTCGCTGTCTCAACCACTCCTATCCACCTATTTTTATCTTCATTATCTTCAATTCTTCTTCAGAGATTTTTGTGAGATTCGTTTTCACCCTTTCCAACCATCTTTGTATCGATCGACTCCAGGGTCTTTTTCATTTAGTCTTCCAGTAATCACAATTTTTGCTACCTATTAAGACCTCCAAATATGGTCCATTATCTTTTACTTTTTAGATACGAACTAATAATGGGTTCATCAAACATTTGGTAAATGTTCTGGTTAAATTATCTTACTATATTCTCCGTTCTCAATTAAAGGGCCATACTTTTGACGTAGTACTTATCTTTCAAAAATGTTAATTTTTTCCTCGTCTCTCTTAGGCACCGACCAGGTTTCAGATCCGTACGTCAATATTGGTCGTAAAAATGTAGAATATAGCTATTCTTTTGACCTTCTATATTGTGGTGTTTGGTTTTATAACAATAGCTTTTTCCCATGACAGGTCATCAGTCCGTCGATTAACCCCTACATCTGGAAGACCTAATAGACCTCCCAACCAATTAAAGTAAGAAGAGAATGTTTACTGCAATGCACCGTAAGTGCATTGGACGATGGGAGTCCCACATTCCCTACGCCAACATTTGACCAGTATTATTTCTAGTAAAGAATTTTTCACGTTATTAAAATAAACACATTTTATTTCTAAGCTAAAATTAAGTTATAAACATAATATTCAAAATGATTTAGCAATCGAGTTTGTAACAAATAAGTTAAACATTAAACAAACATAAAACGAAGAACTAAGGAAACTAATACAACAAACTATATTGAATCATTTTTTCGGAAACTAAAATTCCCAAATAAATTTTAATTCATCTTTTATTGATTTTTAATCCCTATATAAATGATTATAAATACACAATTTATGTAAAAGTTTAAAATTAATAAATTAATATAGATAAAAAAGTTCAAAAACTGAAATAACGTAAATTCAGAAGTTAAACTGAAAGAAAATAGATTCTTTTTGTAAGATACCAACAATTTGATTAATTGTTATTTTAATTATTATTATAATCAGCTGTGCTAAAATTAATTTAGTTAAAAACTGCGTTATCGGAATAATATACGAGTGCAACAAAAAATGTATTTCCGTCTCATATTTATATGCCCCATAAAATTATATATATGTATATATACAATATGTATTATACATACACTGTAAAGGCAGTTGTATAATAGTGATTATAATATTTTAAACACTCCACTCTTCGTTTTCCGTTTCTTGAAATAAAATAAGTTTTCATTCTTGAATTCTACCATCGAAAAATTGATATATACGCTCATATCTGCGCTGAAATCTTACAAATTCAATAAATGGATGTCATAATCTAAACAATAAAACTCAAAAAGTATTATCATTACTGTGACATGAAAAAAATGCCGAAGTCCAAGTTAAATGATAGGTGGTAGAGTAAGATGAAACCTTAGTAAAACGGAGAATACGAAACGTAGTCTTAGCAAGGACTTGGCAATAATGATGACGACTGCGACGTATAGCCGTAGAGAATATCTCTGTCAACACAAAACTGTCACTTTGACAAATGGCACTTTATTACCCTTTCACAACTCATTTCTATGCATTATTATGCATTCGTGATAGAACTATATGGCTCCCTAAACATAAAGGTTTTCTCGAGAGATGTAAAACTGTTAAAATCATCATATATAGATTATGTAGGATGTACTTATTATATTTTACGTTTTTAAATCAAGACCGATAACACTTATTGTATTACTGTATTAAGAATAAATTGGATGTGTTTGTTGTTTCAGTTTGTTCTCCGACCTCAGGACCATGTCTGGCACAGCTTTAATGTACATGTTGGCAAATATGTTTTTGACGCAGTTATTTTATGTAGTTGGTGTCGGCGGAGTTCAGGTAATATTTCGTTATTTAATTCGTAATTAATTTTGAAATTGTATTGTTTATTTCCATGTATTTAAGATCAATGATAGTATATGTTTCCATTTAACATATTAACATATCCATGATTTTGTTATTTCTATCAAGTATAATTAATCATATAAATCTACCTCCATCAAAATATCCATAAAATATTATATTGTTATTTTCAGAGTTAAAAATTAACTAAACAAATAATAAAGTTTTCGTTTAAATTCTTAAAAACTGCCTATCTTAATCATAAAAGATAAAAAATAATTTTAAGTTATAAAAAGTTAATCTTCTTTAAACTTTTAATAACATATGTAAATGAATAACTCCATCGATATTTTACTCCAACAAAATTGTTATAAATATGTTAAATATTTATACTATATTTCCTTATGATTTTACTTGTTCTACAAAACTATTTGTCCTAAGTACTCGTATATAACAAAATGCAATACTTAAAAGTTCAAAAAATTAAAGTTAGATGGCGCTTTATGTATCTAATTGGCTATAACGATTCGTACTAGAGATGGAAAGTCCAGTTCAATTTAAGGAAATGTTCATTAGTTCACGTTTATCAAAATTAAGAGTTCAAATGGACTATTCTTTAATTCATATAGTTCACCAAGTTCACTAGTTTAAATGATTAATACTATTTAATTTCACAAACAATTGAACTATTTCTCTTATCACTATTAGTATTTGTAGGTCCTACAAATAGTCAATTAAAATATCTATTATCAATAATTACATCAAATACTTTTCAATGTAGAAACATATCAAAAGCACACTATGTTTACAGATTAGTTAATTAATATATATATTCTTATTTATTTCTTTATATTTTATGGTAATATCCGATAAAATTATTTTCTTGAACAGTTACTATGATGCAAACATTGCAAATAGCCGTTTTGAGATTTTTAACAACAAATTGAATAGACTTAATAACAAATAATAAAGACATAATATGAAGTTCACGAAATATATTACAGTTTAGAGTACACAACGCAACCGATTAATTTTTTGATCTGTAAACTATTAGATTACAGGTATTGAAACAGTTCAGAATAGTTCACCAAAGTGAATAGTTAATTTGAACTATTCGTTCACAAACTTGACATTTCTAATTCGTACTATCTTTGAATACGTAATTTAAGTTAATGAAACAACTATTATACATATTTTCAACTAATAATGATAATTTATCATCACATTAAAATTTTAAAATCCACCCAAACTAAGTATCTAAAGTATCTAAATTATAGAAATATAACCGATTAAAACATGCCACAAATTAATAATTATCGGGATAAAAAATCCAAAATTATAATTCCTAATGAATTTGAATTTCATATAATTATTAAATAGTTAATCCGCATCAAATAGTTTTAACATTTTAGACATTATCTAAGATTTTTTTGTGATTAACTGAAAAATGTGTTAAAAACAATAGTTAGCTTTTAATAAGGTTTTTCAAAAAAATTTACCATATAATTATTTTCTATAGCAATAAACCCTAACTAAGTGATAACCGCTGGTCAGTGATAGACTAATTATACTAAGACATGATTTTACCCGAATAACTTCACAAGGATTCAAAAAATATTTAGGTTATGTTTATCAATTTCAAATGTAATTTAATTTTTTAGTAATATAGTTACCATAAAATAGTTTTATTAAGCAAATTAAGAATAAAACAAAGTTTAAAAATAATCAAATTTTTTACTCAATTATTTCTAGAATTTTATTTTTTAAGTACCAATTTTTGTCTTAATAATAATAACATATAATCATGTAACAATAGCCAATTGATAACACGAAATGTACGTTTATAACAAACAAAACATTTTGGAATAAACTATTTTAATAACAATACATGGTTAACTTTATATAATGTGTGATTATTATAAACGGCTTATACATATTATAGTAACGTGTAACATAAATCATTTTATTTCTTCAAAAATTTAAAATAAAAAATTATTTGGCTATTTATTTTTAAATTTTCTATATATATTTTCTCCAAACAAGTAGAAAAACTAGAAAAATCTACGAAAATTTTAAATTAATTTCTAAGTAAGTTTAATTTTTATTTTAAAACTGTATATAAAATAAATAAATAAGTAGATAATTCTAATTATTCCAGTGACTTAAATATATGAACACACATAAAGTAAGAAAAATATTCGGTTGTGGGCTTATAATTTGGGTACCATGAATCGAGTGATAAGTGCAACATTGACATACGTTTTACGTGAGAGAGACCATTTTGCATAATGCACGGCTACAAAGTTATTTTTATAGCCTCAAATCTCATTGAATTTCAATAGTCAACCCAGGAGGATTCTAGCATTCAGGAGTAGCTAAGTAGCGGTTTCTACCTCTCTATTATGAAATATTTATTCGGGTCATGGACATCTTAAGGGTTACTACTAAACTTATAAATGATAGTAATACTAAATAGTAATAATAAATAGTTAAAATCGTGTATTTTTTTTAAGATGGCAGTACAACATTTTCGCCCCAAAAGTATGGAAGCTTTGCACTGTCACATTCAAAAGCACATATTTGATGGATAGTCGGTACCAGTTATAAATTCCTACAATTATTTGAAATTCAGTGCACGCAACGGCTCTCGTAATACTTTATATATACACTGCAATCCTACGTCAGGTTTACATTTTGGTGCAATTTTAATATCCGTTTTACTTTATCACACTTTCTTAAGACTTAAGTAAAAGAAGCAAACTAAATAAATGCTTGGAATTTAAATCGCTTAAATTATTTAGAAATTAGTTAACTTAATTTAAATCATCAATAACTTGAACGAGTATTTTAAAACATTATCTTTAAAATTAAATGGATGTCAGTCGAACATTATATTATTTTAATAAACTAAAGCACGCGCGTTTATTTGAATATATATCAATTAATCACATAAAAATATGCCAACAATCGAAATATAACACAATGTAGGTATCCGGAATGTGTAGTCGGCTAAACCGCGGTAAAATTAATCTTTTTTAAAAAGTCGATATGTAAACTGAGGCAAAAAAAATGTTAAGATTTTACAATCTACGACAAAACCAATAATATACATTATACAAGCTGCTTCATGTTATATACCTACGATATTATACACTATATGGTATGTAATAAGTACCTATGTGTACCTATGCACTGAAGTGACAATATAACATAAATTTATCGATATGCGTACATAAGTACACATAGGTACATATTACATATTATATAGTATATAATATCATAGGTAAATAAAATAGTCACAGCTTGTATAGTGTATCTTATCGTTTTTGTCGTAGAATGTATAATGTTAAATTTTTTCTTGCCGCAGTTTACTCATCGACTTTTAGAAAAAAGTTGATTTTATTACAGCCCAATCCGCATAAGATTTTTAAAGGCATTTCTTTCAAAAAATATGTTTATCATTAAAAGTAGTGATCGATATTTACAGGAGGATAATCTTTGTTTATGCCTGGCGTTTGGAATACACTACCTTCGTTTGGCCGTCATCAGTTGGTTGTGCGTGATGACGTACGATATGCTAATCACGTTCCGAAACAACGTGAATCTCAACCCCCGACCGGAACCAGTGAACGTGCTTATATCGAGATTCGTCAAGTACAGTGTGTTCGCTTGGGGCGTGCCGTCATTGTCGGTGATATCGGCCAGCGTGATGCGAGTGACCGTGAACCATCAGGCCGTGAACAATCTTAACCCGTACAACTGTTGGTCAGTATTGAATACACGCGCAATGTACCTACGTTCGCACGCCCTGTATTTCTTGTCGGTATTGAAACGGCCGAAATCGTTTAGCGTAGAAAAATCATTGCTAGTTTTACTTTACCGTGGTCACACCCGTGTGGTTGCACGTACGTGTGAATAAATCTGTTGCTTTTACTGGTGTGAAAAAAAAACCGAATGGGGCAGGAAGTGTGAACACCGAGTGGATAAGACATGGGGAAATTTCCGGGCCCCTTGTTGTGAAAAGGTTCTCGGATCCCACGTGAAACAGAGGCGTATTTAGATTTACTTCTGGAGGTGGGAGGGGGGAAACTTAAATTTTTTTTCTCTAATTCAGACTCAAAATTGAGAAGTAAAATTTTCGATAATATTTAAATCTGGTGAATCCTTAATATTTGTGGTTTTTTTTTTTTTTAATCTAATGCCGAATCCACTTAGAATCGACTTTTGTGTAATTCTTTTTTAACACCTGTCTGTGTCTTGAAAGTTACGCTTATTTTTTATTTTATTTTTCACTAAGTATGGACCCGACAAAAAACCCAATTCAGTATTCACAGCCACGCGTTATTTGATTTCGTTATAAAATTATCCACATTAAAAAAATTTGAAATTTGTGCGACACATATAATCGATTCCTTAGATGAAGATTAATGTGTAGGTGGCGATCGCCCCTTCGGTCCCCTCCCCTAAAATACGCCCCTGACGAGGATCGGCTAACCGAACGCGCGTGCTCATGTTTCAGGTTCTTCGAGAAGACCATCTACAACGTGACGTTCGCGGTGCCCGCGCTGTGCTGCTTCGCCGCAATAGCCGACTCGCTGATTCGTAGCTGGCTGACCGCCCGGGCAACAGTCGGCCTGCAGGTGGACAAGAAAACCCGGCTGAAGATGCACCGGAAGCGCACGCTACAGCTGCACCTGTACGTGAAGATCGCCACGCTACTGTTCGCGGTCAACGTGTTCGGGTGCGTGGCCAGAAACGGGTCGCCCTCGTCCGACCCAGTCGCGTGGATCGCGTACAACGTGGGCCACTCGCTGCAAGGCATACTAGTCGCGTTGGCCGTCACGTGCAACTGCCAGGTGCTGAAGATCTACACGAGATCGTTCTCGCGGCGCCGGCGGCGGCGGCCGCGCAACGGCAGCGCCACCGCGTTGTTCGACAAACGCGACAGCGACATTAGCGACACGACGTACTTGCAGAACCTCACGTGGGAACCCGTTCCGCTGCCCGTTTAGATAGTGGCGGTATTTGGGAAAAAAAAAAATCGTCGGAAGAACAAAAATTAAAATTATTTTAAATGAACAACAATAAGAGTTCGGGACACCGTGTCCGACGAGGATAACCCGCGGTAGCCCCCAGTGGCCGAGTGGTGGTCGAGCGGATCGGGCCACATCTGTGGCCGCGTGCATTATATCCTTTTTTTTTTAAGCACCATGATACCGCATGGAACCTTCCCACGGCCGCCACTCGGTCACCAACCCCTTAGAACGACCCCTCTTCCCTCCCACACTTTCCGGGAACGCATCTCATTCGCAAGCTTGTGTTGTGCACCCTCGTACGATCTTACGATAGTAATCACTGGTCTCTACACTCATCCTAGTCGTCGATCGCTTTACAGCAATAGCGTGTGATTTTTTGCATAGTACGTCACTCTCCCGCCATTTTTTCGTATACCAGCATTTACGATAGCCTAATATGGGTTTTCCTTCAATACAACAACCTCCGTTCTCAGATGTTCGTAGTCACTAGTTGAAAAAAATCATAAATCACTACAACACAGTGTATTTTTTTTTTTTTTTTTTTTTATGTTATATGAACGTTAAAACAATTATGATAGAAATGTAAAGATTTCTAATTTAGACAGGTTAGACACCAATTATAGCTTTAATCAATCAATTGAGAGGTTGACAACTAAAAATGAACGAGTGAATTACTAGAATAAAGTTGTATTCAATTTACTGAACATGAATCACCTTATTATTTTTATTCAATTAAAAGTATATTTAAATTTTTAATGTATCGTACACTATTTTAAATAATGTTTATAATAATAAGCTCCAATCGTCGTAACTAGAGGCAAAGTTTGGTTTTAACAGAAGAAAATCATGCGTTGATCGGCTAAAATCATCGACATCAAACTATCCGAGGTACACGACCTTCTAGTCGTCATGTACTCGACAATCGGTATATTGTAATATTAATTCTCTCTTTCACTTTCGCGACTAGACTTCATCCGGCTAAGAATTTATCATAATACCGTAATGCCGAGTTGTAAAAATTACAACATATATACATATATGTCATATCAAGCGTAGTCACTAGTCCAAATTTATCGTTAACATGGATTCGTACAAAGTCTTAACAATTAGAAAAAAGACTTGAAAATCATTGACCACTCTGATATTTTCCCAACTCATTAAAAAAAAACTATTTACTTGTTTAAAAATATGTACTCATTCATAGTATATAAACAGTTAATAAACACGTATTTTTCTTTTATATTACAAAATAATTCTGACAGAAAACACATTTTATCGAAGAAAAAAAATATTATCACACATTTTTACTATTATTATTTCAAACAATATTTATGAATACAAAAATGGTTTATTATTAAATCATAACCTCAACAAAAAAAATCAGCATCTCCATTCCACCGAATTTAAAGACCTAGTTAATTCTATACCTCTGCATGCCCCATAATGTTTTACTTTTTTTTTTTCATTGTTTTCAAATAACAAGCATCATACTCTTCACAAATATCCATAATAAATCACATATCACAGTGCAAAGCTGGTGAATATTTTAGACGGATAATGTCAACATCACGTCTAATGTATTAGATGAATTACCCGTATGTGTTATATTCTATATTTTAGTGGATTGTATTCAGTTTAATATGTATCATAGACCACTAAAACAGATATATATTAATAATAATAAATCTTAAACAGTAGCGGTGCGTGAATAAAATGTACGGGGAGACTTTTAATTTTTGTTTAACAATTTATATACATTTTTACTTGAAATATTAGTATATTATTTAATATATATATTTATATATATGCCGTAATCACTGATTAACTTGGCTAAATAATTCCGATCATTGTTAATTATATTCTTGTTGGATAATTATTTAACATCATTATAAGTAATTAGTTTAAGCTTCTGAAAAAAATATTGATAATATTGCATCGTTTCTTTTATAAAATATTACGTTAAGTTTAAACATATAAATAAATATAAATTAAATTAATTAATATTAATTTCATGGATACAATTAAAACTGATAAAATAAAAAATATAAAAATAATTATACAATAAATATAGTTGAAAATAATTTCAGCTATATGTTTTTATAAATAAATTCAAGCCTTCATTCTTTTTTTCGGCGAATTCATTTATCGTTTTATACGTCTTCAACAAATCACGTCTTTTACCATGACTCCAAACAGTTGTTTTCGATCGTGAATGTCGATAAGGAATAAAGCAGCTCGTTGGTCAGTGTTTCTTAAAAATGATTTTACGCGTTTTAACGTGCGCATTGATCGTTCACTAGATGCTATAGTAGCAGGTAAGTATTGATAAGATCAACTGACATTTATACTGAGAATATATTTCATGTATATCGTCTGAAAACAAATATTAAAAATTAATTAAATTTATTTTCAAATTTACAATTATATTTATTAACTAACAAACTTTTAAAAAAAAAACATCCAACATTTCATGAGGAGGTTTATGTTTTTCTGTGTCTGAGTAGACTCCTTGCAGTTCATTAAATAAACAATATTCATCAAAATAATTTGAATATTGGTTAATTAACTTCAAAAAGTTAACCTCAAGAAAATAGTTTGAATAATATTTGAACATTTTTTTCGTTTGTTAGTTCAACAAATTCAAAATTTGAAAAATCCTTAAATTTTATGTAAATTTTAATAATTAAAGAATCCAATACTTTATACGACATTTATAAAACTAAATTTATATTTATATTTACAAAGAGTTGCTTTCAGTTTACAATCATAAATCAAAGTATCATTCAATTTATTTACTTCTTTACAACAACTATCCACAATTTCTTCATTTCTTAAAATTGACAAATTATTTTTTAGCTTTTGAACTTCATTAACACATCCACTTATATCAGACATATTTTTAAAGTATAAAAAATTAAATACATGATCAGTATAAATAAATATTTTATTAAAAAATATTAATAAATAGACAAATTTAGTATCAAATTTAGTTTACAATTTTATTTCCTACTTCCCATTTTATAATTTCAGCATTTATCACTTCTACAAACCCAATCCAGTTTTGTCTTTAGAAACATCAAAAAACCCAACATCTTTCTATAATATTTTGATCTATAACATATTGAAATATTAATCTAATTTGTGATCGACATGAAACATCGGTAGTATCATCTAACCGAAATAACCTTATAAATAATTATTCACAACTACATATATATGTACAGTAAATATTGTAGATAGAAAAAGTAGATCACACAAAAATATGAAAATATTTGAAAAATTTTGTTTTGCCATATTATGGCCATGTTATACGCCATCTCAAAGTCTCCCCTGACGCACCACCACTGATCTTATAGTGTATAATACAACTGCTGCAATACCAAAGAATAAACGGAACGAAAAGAAAATGTTGAACGTGAATAAAATATAGTATTATCGTAAACATTATAAATTACAATGCATATTCAAAGAACTATATTATAATCTAGTTTTAATAGTTAAAATATTGGTTTTCGTTACATAATATATTGTTATTTTTTTTTTTTTTCGTTAAATATTATTATAAAGTATATATATATATATATATATATGTATTATGTATAATATTGTAAACTTTAAAATCTATTAAATGTAGAATTATTATTATTAATATAAATAAGTAACGATGATGAAATTGTAATAAATAATTTAAATTTTAAAAAATTGGCACTATAAACAATATTGACATTTACGTCTATAATAAAAGATGAATGTGGTCTTGTGTTGTATTTACTTACTCTACGTTTACACATAATAAATCATAGTTATTTACCCAAAATCGAAAAAATTTATAATAATAATTTATACAATCTACGAATGTAAACACGACTAAATATGTTATATTGAAATATGACAAATTGAAATGTATATTTTATATTTCTATACAACAAAATATTCAGTGGGTATCTAAGTCATCCAAAAAACCTATAAATTCGTTAAAAAAATCTTATGATTATCTTAACAGCAAGGTATTACTATGAAATGTAAAGAAGTACATGGCTAACAATAAAATTGTGCATTAATGGAAAATTATTATCTTTTACAAATATCAACTGTCAAAAATTATACTTTTTCGCCCATATTACTAATATATTTTTAATCGTAGGTCTCAAATAGGTGATATTTTGTTATCACCATAAAGTATCTAATATTCATTTAAAGTAAAAATAAAAAAACTTGTACACTTAAGAGGTCGTACAAAATCTTTTTTAGCTATCATATATTGTTTCTGATATACGAGTATGTGTACATAATGCAATGATTCTAATTACCTAGCTATTTCATTTTTATACTTACCTGTTATTTTTTCAATAATAATATGTCTAATGTATTTTCGAGTTTACCAATTGCGCTCTAAACATTTTAGGTTTTTATACACTGTTTATAGTCCACCAAGCGTATAATAAATTAAATCTACATCCCACTAAAATTGAAGGCCAGACTTGTTTAGCTGCAAAATGTATAGCTTGTTCGAAATCAACAACGACTGTTTTTGGATTAAAATCAAGATTGAATGTTGCACATTTACTAATTAAAACTCTAAATAAATATTCGTATGCACTTGTATGTGCTTGTTCAGAAGTAAAGAAAAATTAAATTGAATATAGTGCCCATTTTTCTAACCATGTATCGCAAAAAGTTGATAAAAATATTTAGAACGAAATTTAAATGTTCCATTGACAAATATTTTATCACAATTACATAAAAATTCTAAATTTGATTTTATAGAATAACATATTATATTCAACATATTTTCGTTTTTAACCAATAAATTCTCATCCTTGTATGTATTCGTATCCAAATTATTTAATGATGCACTTCGGTTACATTTTTCGGTAAAGGTGATAGCGTTTTTCTCCGAGTACGATAATCGCCTCGTCGTAGAGAATGCACATCGTTTAATGTAAAATCTAACGCGCTTGTTTGCACTTCATTCCGAATTAATTTTAGTGGACGTGTTGGAACTTGGCCTGTTACTTTTCATTTTAACGAATTAGCAACAATTTGTCTATTAATATTTATACTTACTTCGTGGTTATGATCAAAGTGGTAACATTTTAAAAGCACCATTTCACTTACATTCATCAAGAACTAATAACGGTTTACCTTTTTCACTAAGAGCTTTTGTAATACGATCCATATTGTAACGTCAAACAAGTCAAACTAATATTAAACGATTAACAAGACATAAGTATTGGGTATCATCAATATGTTATTCTATATACAGTATATTGTATGCAACAATAGTCAATCATTAATTATAGATTAATAAATGAGATTTTTAATAATTTTGTATTTTACTAATAAAATATTTTTATTTTCTAGAGCACAAATGGAATTCGACGTCAAACTTTTTCCAAACATATATATTTTTTTTCATTCCGTTTTACTTTTGACAGCACTGTTTTTGTCAATCCATTAACTTCTTCGCAATGTTTGATCACTGTCAATATTAAATTATTTTGGTTCATTAACACGTTCAATGCCACCCCATAATTTGAAAAGTCATATAAAAAAAACCACAACATAAAATTCATAAAATTCCATAGATTTTATATAATTCCATAGATTGTATTTAATTCCAAAGATATTATATAATTCCATAGATTGTATATAATTCCACAGATTGTATATAATCCATAGATTGTATACAATTCCAGATTATATCTATGGAATTATGTATTATCTTTGGAATTATATACAATCTCTGGACTACATAAAATCTATGGAATTGTGTATTCTCTTTGGAAATATACACAATCTATGAAGTTATGTATTCTCTTTGTAATTATATACAATCTATAGACTATATAATATCTATGGAATTGTGTATTATCTTTGGAAATATATACGATCTATGGATTATATAATATCTATGAAATTATATACAATGTATGGAGTTATATAATATCTTTAGAATTATATACAATTTATGGATAATATATAATCTATGAAGTTATATACCAACTAAAAATACTCGTAGACTTTGGGTATGCCGTATCTATTAGTTTATATGGTCGAAGCTCGTAACCACAGATATATAATAACCAGGGCTCGGAAGTTCTAACATAAGCATATTTTTCTTGGTTCATCTTTGAACATCCAAAATAAAATTCAAATATGTTTCTTACTACTTGGATACCATAAACAAAATTTAATTTTGCTATTTTTTGCATATTTAGGATTTATAGTGCTATTTTCGGATATATTTTTGACATAATATAGGAAATAATCAAATTTTGTTGGTAATAATTGTATTTACT